GGGCGGTGTGCTTTTGTTCTGCGGTGACGGGGCCGCCGTTCGCAAACGGAGCCCTCGTCCGCGTTCTGCTGACCTTGTCCCCTCATCTCTGACTCCTGTCGCCAACCCCGCGCCCGCTTTCGCAGAAAGGTTGCTCTGCTCCTCGATGTAGTCCCTGGCTCTAAATCTCTTGTTGTTCCTGTTCAATAACACTTCTCTTGATTTAGACTTCTATCTACAGCCCCGAATCTGATATAGTCCGCTAAACGCAATGCACTACAGCTCATAATAACAATAACAACAATAATAATAGTAATAATAATAGTAATAGTAATAATAGTAATAATAATAATAATAATAGTAATAATAATAATTTTGAAATTTTAGTTGTTTCTTCTTGTTGATCCTGATTAAATGTAGTAGATAGAGAAATTAAGACTTTAATAGTTTATATATCATTAGTAATATCTTAACGTTTCTCACATTTAGCACGTACCTTTTCAATATAATAAAATTAATAATAATAATAATAATAATAATAATAATAATAATAATAATAATAAAACAAATGTTTACATGTGCCAAATAATAGAAACAAAAACGATGCGAAACACATGGTTAAATTTCTTGGAAGAGTGAATGATAATAATAGAGTGTAACACTATCCATCAGCAAACAGTGATAGAAAATCACACCTACTAACTATATGTAAACCGGAGCATCTTAATTCATAGAAACGTCTGTCACTCTAGACCTGTTGTCACCGTCTGGGGACATGGTATCAATTAAGCTGCAGTTTCAAGGCTTTCCTGTAGTTGACGCTAATACAATTATGACAGCCTACCAAACAAAGATGGAAAATAGGAATTGCTGGAATTTTGAATGGGAATTGATCCACTTTAAAAAGAAGTATTTGTCTCTGTGGGATGCGAAAGTGTTACCCACCGATGTAGCAAAAGTTAATGCCAAGTTACTGGAAGAGGTACAAAAGTTAATCTTGTGAAGTTACTATACACTATTACATCACAAGATCTGAAATTATTGACATTTAGAAGGTAGCCGTAATCAATATGTGTTCTTTGGTTTGACAGTTATGAGTAGTAACTTTTGTAAATCATTTTAGTAAAATATTTACTAAAATTTTTAATTCAAAATT